TAACCCAGAGTTCTTTCTTATGGAGTCAGCATACTGTCATAAACCTTGAACCTTCTAACTTAATAATAAGTCTGTGGTGTCTACATTAGATAAGTTTCTTTCAATTGCCAATGACAGAAACTAACCCTAGCTAGCTGAACTTTTCAAAAACAAGATGTGGGGAGAAAAGTGGGAATTTTTTGGAAAGATATTCGTATTCCCATTCAGAATTTAAGGGCAAGAGAAACAGAAAGAGACAACAAGGAATCAGCCAGGTGATCATGAGGCTACTCTGAAGCTTGCAGCACATTGAAATACCTGCTTTTCTCATGCTCTGATCAACTCAAAACTGTGCCTTCATGGAGTTGTTTCTGAAACCAATTTTCATGTCAAAGGCAGGAAACAACTGTCTCCTTCGTGAACTCAGAAACTGAAGTTAGTGAACCGTCTCCCCAGAGAAGTGACTAAGCAGATCCCTGGGTCAGTCCAATGAGTGAGTCCAGCTTAGGTGTTTGTGGGGGAGGGCTAGGATCTCTGGGGTCTACCTCTGTGTAAGGGGATGGGATGGTGTTTAGAAAAGAGGAAATCATTGTAAGCCTAGCAGCCATGCCAAGAAGTCCATATATTGGCCCTTTCTTGGGCAGAATGGTTGGCTCAGGAGACACGTCTCTCAGGAGACCAGATTTTTATCAGTGGAAGTTAGCATTTTATAAGTAGCTTGCTATTTTCTTCATGACACCATTCACATTAGCCTCATTCATGGTCTTAGTAGTTAAAATTAATATGTCAGTTCTACTTTCCTGGTTGACTCAGTATCATTTACCTTAGTTTAGCTATTCATTGATTAAACTTCAGAGGAAGTTTTCAAAATAGAATTGGAGTGCTCCTAGTGGAGATATGGGGCTTCCCTGGTAGCTCAGCTGATAAAGAATCGCCTGCAATGCAGGAGACACCAGTTTGATTCCTGGGTTGGAAAGATCCCCTGGAGAAGGGATAATCCACCCACTCCAGTGTTCCTGGGCTTCCCCGGTGGCTCAGTTGGTAAAAGAATCTGCCTGTAATGCTGGAGACCTGGGTTCAGTCCCTGGGTTGGGAAGATCCCCTGGAGGAGGGCATGGCACCCCACTCCAGTATTCTTGCCTGGAGAACCCCCATGGACAGAGGAGCCTGGCAGGCTACAGTCCCTGGGGTCACAAAGAGTCAGACACAGCTGAGCAGCTAAGCACAGCACAGTGGAGATCTGGAGAGCTGAACTTGGGTTTGTTATCCTGTCCTGTCCTTGCCCTGGCCAAGGAAACTGTGGACCTGGAAGCCTGGTTCATTCATGTTCTTCCCTGCCTTACACCTGGATTACTGTGGCATTTGTTCATTCATTCATTCACTCATTAAGCTTTCCCTATGTCTGAAACTCTATCAGGAGGTAGGAATACAAAGATAAATTTGACACCATACCTGCTCTGAAAGGACTCACAGGGCTTGGAAATGTGTTGAAAAGGCAACGGCTTTATGGTCCCAAGTGATTATAGTGCTGCAGGCTCAGGCAGCAACCCTGGCCCAGAGATCTTTATACTGCAGCACAACGGGCCCCTGTGGCTAAGCTTACCACCCAGAAACTGATACTGTAGTAAACAGAATAATGACCCCTCCCCACTTCAAAGGTGTCCATATCCCTCCCTGGAAGTGTAAATGCTGTGTTACTGGCAAAAAGGAATTAAGTTTGCTGATAGAATTAAGGCTACTGCTTATCTGACTTGGAGATGCAGAGCTTATCCTGGATTGCCCAGGAGCATCCACTATGATCACGATGGTCCGTATAAGATGGAAGCAGGGGAAGGAGACCGAGAGAGACAGCAGGATGAGAGGGACCTGACCCACTGCTGCTGGCTTTAAAGACGGAGGAACGGAGCTGCCGATCAGGGAATGCGGGCAGCCTACAGAAGCCAGAAAAGGCAAGGGAATGGATGGTCTCTGAGAGCCTCCGAAAGGAAAGCAGTTCTGCCAATACCTTCCCTTTAGATTCATGAGAGCCACTTCAGACTTCTGACCTCCAGAACTGTAGGATAATCAAATCAAGTTACGTCTCTATGTTTGTGATGATTTGTTACAGCAGCAGTCACTTAGTTCAGTTCAGTCGCTCAGTCGTGTCTGACTCTTTGTGACCCCATGAACTGCAGCACATCAGGCCTCCCTGTCCATCACCAACTCCTGGAGTCCACCCAAACCCATGTCCATTGTGTCAGTGATGCCATCCAACCATCTCATCCTTTGTCATCCCCTTCTCCTGCCCTCAATCTTTCCCAGCATCAGGGTCTTTTCAAATGAGTCAGCTCTTCGCATCAGGTGGCCAAAGTATTGGAGTTTCAGCTTCAACATTATAGGAGACTAGTATAGGCAAGTATATACCTGGGTGATGCTTGGTTCTATGCAAAAGGACAGAGGATTGACCAGGGGCATCTTTCTAGGGCATCATTTAAAATATTATTTCACATTAAGCATATGAATAGGATGATAATTTAGCATCAACTTTGAATTTGAATGGCAACCCACTCCAGTATTCTTGCCTGGAAAATCCCATGGACAGAGGAGCTTGGCAGTCTACAGTCCCTGGGGTTGCCAAAAGTCGGATACAACTGAGTGACTAACACTTCACTTCAAGATGAAGCGCAAGATTTCACATTTTTTTTTCTAATTTGTGAGCTGCATTGAGCCCTGAGCTCCGGTCTTCTCTACTGTCAGACCGAAGTGTTAAGAGGCACTTGTCTGTCTGAGTGCGATAGTCAGTGACTATCCAGACTACGGCCATTGTTATTCTTAGCACATAGTTACATTTAGGTCTTTTTTACCTAATTTTAAAATCCATGTTTGCAAAGGTGGCACTCACTAGCATTTCACTTAAGAATTTAAAAATATATCAGAACGTAACAACATCTAACATTTTTATAATCCTCTCACAAGCCTTTCTTTATTTGGTGCTTAAAACAGCTTCACGAAGAAAGGGTAATCATTCCCACTTGTCAGAGGAAGAAAGAGATGCTTGGAGTAGAATGTCCAAAGTAACAGGGGCTGAGTGGCCACGGTGGCTCTTTCCACAAAGCCAGGGTGGCTGCCAGAAAGTGCTTCTCTGGCGTAGGTCACTGAGAAACTGGTCCCAAATTCACCAAGCATCTGCCATGTCGCAGCTGCATCCATGCGGCCCCTGGGCCTGCACAACGGCTGCTCTTGGTTTAGGTGTTGCTGTTTTCATTATGACTGTAAGCCTGTAAGCGGCCCCTTGTCCCAATATGACTGGATCTGTCCTCATGAAAGAATCGCTTCAACAAAAGCGAGTGCAGGCCGTGTGCAAGAGCAGGACTGGGCCTTTTGAGAACAGCAAAAGCCAATTTTCACTGTGATCCCAGTGCTCCTGAGATGAGCTGGGTGCAGAGCGAGGAGCAGGCCACGGTTTGGGGGCCAAGATGAGAGCCCCTCTTCCGCAGTGCCCCTCTTCACTTTCCAGCAGGGCGTTACTGGGCCCTGTGTCAGAAGGCACTGTTCGTTTTTGCAGTCAGTTCATTGTCTATACTCAAACCTCACAGAAAGATTTTGCTTTGTTTGTGGGTTTATCATTATTATTACGGGTCTTTTTTTAAACTGCAGAGGAGGTATTTTCCTTTCCTCATTGCCTCTTTTTCACTCCAATTCAAAGTCTATACTTTCTATGAGCTTTCTGTCACCCCATCAAAGAAGATTTCCCTGACCTGATATAAATACCACGCTACCCAGACCCCTTTCTCTTTTCACTCTTCATTCCTTCACCTTGCTTTGTTAGGGTTTTCACAACAATTCTCTCACCTGACTTTTCTTTTTTTCCAAAATGTTTCTGTCTCTGCAGCCATGAGAGTGAATGCTACATCTCCTTGGTCTGCTGCTATGTCCCCTGGACCTAGACAAATGCCTGGCACTCAGGAGAGCTCAGGAGATATGTGTTGAATCAACTACTGAAATCTTTGCATCTCCCCCAGTGTCTGATACAATCCTTAACCTTCCAAATGAAAGACCCAAGTGAAATTAAAAAAAAACAAAAACAAGAAGCCAGAGCAAAGGGGAGAAAACCCTTAACTTACTCTTTTTGGAGTCACTTTCTAGTTTCTGATTGACTGATCAGGGGAAGGGAAGGATGCAGAAGGGGGAAATATCAGTGTTGAGTTGAAAGCTCTCAGCCCCCAATACCTGGCCCACCCAGACCGGGGGTGGGGTGGGCTTTTTCTGCCTGGACCACCTCCTTCACTTGGAAGTGAAGGTAATTACACTGTGGCCTCAGCCTATTCACTTCATATCCACCAAAGAAAAGCAGAGCCTTCTTTTCCTTCAGCTGTCAATGGGGTGGTAGGAGACAGCAGGGAAAATGCTATGAGCTCATATTTTTTAGGTTCATGGATCTGTTACAAGTTTTTCTGAAAATAGTACAAAGTAGAACAGTGGAATAAATCCTCCTATACCTGGTACATTATATGGTTTTGTTTGCACAACTTTTGTAAACCCACTTGGAAAACCAACAGCTATTGCTAAGGTCTAATGGAGGCTAATGGTGTCGCCTCCCCTAGGAAAACATTTCTAAAGCATTGCATAGAACTGCACTTCTCATGCATGATCTTTTTGTCTTTGCGGTACTTTTTATACCCTGCCACCCTAAAGACATCTCTCTTAGAAAGCAGAGCTACCACATGCACAGCCAGCATGTTTGGTTCACACTGCCGACAGTGGTCTCATCACCCTGTTCAGTTAAATGACTGTATTCATGGCTAATTCTGTCCCAGACTAGGACGGCAGAAGTTATCTCACAACACTTTATATCTCCAGTGTCCAGTTTAAGAGCCTGGAATGTAGTTTGTACTCGATAAATGTTGAGACAATGAGTCAGTGAATCCATGAAAAACAAGAAACTTTATGGTCCAGGCACAGTGATCTGGTGTTAGCATTTGGACTCCTTTCTGGGACTTATATTTGACTTTTTTTTTTTTTTTTTTTTTGTCTACATTCAGGCACTCTGATTGTTCTGAAACACCCCTATCCCAAAAAAGTGGAAGAACCGTCCATTTATGAATCCGTCCGGGTTCACACAGCAATGCAGACGGGAAGAACAGAAAACGACCTGGTGCCCACCGCCCCTTCTGTAAGTGGCCACATACCTGCCCACCGGGCTCACTGCCTAAAAGCAAGAACATGCAATAAGTTACACACATTCTATAGTACATCTGTTCACATAAAATTCTACCTTGGGATATAAAACTGTAAAAGGAATGTAAAATTCTAAGTCTATGGCTCATCTGATCCAGGGTAAATTGTAAAAAAAAAAATTACAATGCGATGATAGTGATAGGATTTTAAAGACTTCAGAAATGGCACTTAAATCCTGTCCTTACTTCACCAAACAAGTTCATGGTAGAATGTGCCAAAGATGTTTATGGTCACACAGTTGTCTAAACGGTTATTCTACAAATTAATTAAATTTAAAAAAAAAAGTTATTTTACATTTCAACTTTCTCTGGAAGAAAAAGATTCTCCACCTTTACTAGGTGGAGAATAAATTCTCAGGATATTATTTTTTTCCCTGGCCTTGTTATTTATGTTTTTCCTTCACTGAATGAGGGGTCCAGACAGAAGACATTTGGACTCCTTTGCAGCGTGTGAGCCGCTGTTTACTCAGCAATGGGGGCTTTCATTGCTCTCCTTGGAGTCCACTGACGTTTGTTCTGTGAGGGGTGACCCTGCAAAGATTCCTCTCCAGCACCTTCTTCCCTTCGTTGTGCCCAGGGCACCCTGATTCTTTTCCTATTTCTCACTGGCTGCATGCTCTCCTATAAGATATCTGGCCTCATGATAAAGAGGATCACACCTAAGTGAAATGTCAAGCGCTAGTTCTAGATAGCAATCATTATACTTGAAGATATTTCACTACAGATTAAATAAAAACATGCATGACCTTTTTGTCTCTGCGGCCATACTTTTTCCTACCCTGCCACCAGAGACATCTCTCCTGAAAAGCAGATTTACCGTGACTTACAGCTTTACAGCTTTCGGCGGATGCCCACTGTCTTCATCCGCCTGGATCCTGCTCCCCTTCCTGGCCTGACCGTATGCTTCTCCCACATTCACGCTGGAGGACCCCGCGTTTCTGAATGCTCCTCCTCTCCTCCCTGCATCTGAAACCCTGCCAATATCTCTCCTGTTCCCTCATCCTTGGAGCCTTGCATCTGGGATCAGTCTCTTCCAGGAAGCCTTCTTGACCCCTTCTAGCTTCCTCTAACACCCCCATCCTCAGTGCATGCTCTGCTCACCTTTGTCCTGGAATCATCGGACAGGAGGCTGGCTACCTGCACAGAGTCCGCCCTTCCCAGGAGCCTGGGACTTTTCCCGGGACTGGAATCATAATCAGTAGCTTTATAGGCTAATCAGGGTCACGACACATTACACTGTTACTACGCTACGTCCACTCAAAAATAAAAGTCCTGGAAATTGGCTGAGGACGATGTTTTAGCTTTGTTACAGAGGGAAGTAGAAGACCTCTGAACTAGAGAAACTCAGGAACGCAAGACAGTAAATAATCTCAAGTCAAAAGAGACCAGAGAACACATCAAGATCTAACCAAGCCTTTGTTTTCCGGTCGACTATACTCTTCCTGTCCTTCCACTTTACCATCCTACCCCACCACCAATCACTTCACCATCATTTTCATTTGTATTCTCAGTTTTGCTTTATATTCTTCTCTGTTACCGTCCCCTAAAGATCTCCACTCAAGGTCGATCAAACCAGACCCTACTGCGTGTGTCCTTTTTCAATAGTAGAATGTGGATAAGACCGAACTTGTGGAGTTGGTGCAAGCATGAGACACAGGCGTACTTAGGTGGAAACAGCCTTCTTGGGATCAAATTCTGCAAGCTTTATTGCTTACCTTCTTTGCCCACTCCAGGCGTCAGATGGATTCACTTGTCCAAGGATCCAGCAATGAACATATGCAGAAGGTTCTGCATAAAGACATTTTAAAAACAAGGGTGGAATTCCCTGGGGGTCCAGCAGCTTGGGGGTTCAGTAGTTAGGACTCAGCCATTTTCACTGCCCAGGCTGGGTTCAGTCCCTGATCAAGAAACTAAGATTCTGCAACCCAGGGACAAGGTCAAAATTAACTAATTAAAAACAATGAAACAATGATGAGTAGATAAGTCGAAAATGTCTTAACTCACACTGTATAATGAGGAGTCCATGATATTTCTTGTGCATTGATATGGACAGAAAACTAGAAAGGTTTTCCAGTGGATTCTTGTGTCACAGTACTCCTCACTACAGAATGGATGGACCAGCCAGCTGGGGAACAGTTACCCTCTTATCAGGGCCTGTCCTCCCCTGGCTGAACACAGGTGTTCACAGCTTTGATTGAGGGCTTCTGGGCTTCGGCCGTCTCTTGTGGAGATGCCCTTCTTGCACAGGCACTGGCAGTGTAAATAAGTATAGACTATTTACAGGAAAAAGAACCTCTTGCTTGAAGTGAAAATGAAAATAGGTGTCCTATTGCCCAGAAATGTAGGTGCTTCTGTAAAACTGTTTACCATCCTTTGGCAACTGCATTTGGGGAAATGATTGTTTATATATTTCATACACAACATAGGATTGGGCTTCTGAGATAGGTGAATTTAATTAATTCATTTGTTTAGAAAACTTTTTTTTAAAAGTGCCTACAATGCACCAAGGACTGTTTTAAGCACTGGTGGGTTGGCAATAAATTAGGCAAATACTCTACCCTCACTGAACTCATCCTGTAGTAGGAGGATCATGACAATCATCAACAGAAGAAGAAAAACCCAGATTCTAATAGGACATTTGCTGCAGGACCACCCAGAGACATTCAAATTAGGAAATTAACATTGATGCAGCACCATGCTCCCATCCACAGATCTCATTTAGGCATCAGTCATCAGTTTTCTTAGTAAGGCTCCTTAGAGCAAAAGGATGCAATCCAAAATCACAAGTTGCCTTTGTCTGTCCTGCCTCTTGAGTAGTCTTCATTCTGAAACACTTCCTCAGTTTATCCCACCTGATGGCTTTCGACTAAAATTAAGGCAGGCAGGGCTTCCCAGGTGGTGCTAGTGGTAAAGAACATGCCTGACAATGCAGAAGACACAGGAGATGCTGGTTCGTTCCCTAAATCAGGGAAGATCCCCCAGAGTAGGAAATGGCTACCCACGCCAGTATTCTTGCCTGGAAAGTTCCATGGACAGAGGAGCCTGGAGGGCTGCCAAGAGTTGGACATGACGGGCATGAGCACACACAAGACAGGCAGATAGAAAGGATGATAGGCAGGCTAATGCTTTAATTTTAAAATATCTGGGTTGTTTCCAATTTGGGGCTATTAACTCTCTTCTTCTAGATGAGGAGATTTAAAAAATAAATCTGCTGCTGTATAGATATTTCCATTCTTACCTCCTGAGACTATGAACAAAATTGGTATTCTCAGCCCTTTTCTCTGCAGCCTTCCACTTATCTATAAAAACCTTAGAAAAATACTAGATTCATCATATATTGTTTGGATGCAGGTAAGATGGAGTCAGTAGCATGATTCCTTAGTGTGATTTCAATTCTTATCAGTATCTTCTACAAAATAACTTACCTTTATTTTATTTTGTCTCTGTAGACTCAGTAATCCAAAATTGTAATTTTTTTCTGTTTCCATAATATAAAATCCAAACTCAATTCAGCCAGTTCAATTTCTTTTAATGTCAAAATGAATCAAATTGATTATTCAATATCAAATTCACCAATGTTATTAAACATTATTTAAATGAATACCTGGGAATCTCATTGTTGTTTCAATGCCCTAAGAATTTTAAAGGAAGTGGTCATAGTCATATGTTATTTCTGCTTTAAGTATTTATTTTGCTGGTTGCTGTTCCTCTTTTTATTTGGTAGGGAGAATTCATCTCAGGAACAAATACTGTGGAAATTCCCATGAAAAAACATTGACATCAACCAAATCATTTCCCAGTTTTTATTCATTTTTTTCTTACTAATAGAAGATGTATTATGACATTATAGAACAAAATAGCCTACCACAAATCTAATTTCTTCAGGAATGTATGAATTTTGAAATTTTTTCACCTGAGGGTCCTGGTTTTATGCAAATTGCTATTCATACTCTTCCCCACCATTTCTTATACTTCATAGGTGCCAGCTATGTGTCATATTGTTACTGTTGAATTATCAATGGGTGAGATAAAAGAAATGACTGATTCTCACTTTAAATCCCTTCTGGATGAATCAAGTCTAAATAGATATGCACTCTTGAGAGTCTATCCCATGGAATATAGGTCTCAAGAGACAGTCTGTGAAAAAACAAAGGGGTGGAGTTGGAGAATTACATGATAAATTGTAGAAAATGCGATTTCTAATTCACAAAGCAGTTTAGCAGAATGCAGACTCTGGGAAGTACAGAAATCCCTCTTCTTTGCTTTATCCAAAGTTGCCCATGTATTGACCTTATGGCAGTGTATGTGGCCATGTCTATGAACATAACACCCCAAAAACAGCCCGAGCAGCTGGGATGCACATTCGCCCTCTGCCCAATGCAGGCTCTTATAAGTGGCATAACTTACGTAACCTGACCGACTGCAAAGTGCTAACTCACGTTAGAGGAGAGTCTGTGCACTGTTGTCTGTTGCTGCAAAATCACACCGGACAATCTGGTCTGAAAACAGTCTCCACCACTTGGGAAGGATTTTCAAGTGCCTCAATGAAGAAGGAAAGGCAATTACTTACAGATCAAGGGCAAATTCTTGTTTCATTTTAAAATAGGACAGAAATAGAAAAAATTCAAGTTGTGATAGTTCTGGGCTTCACTCGAGTGTTTCTTTCTTTTTCAGCTGGGCACTAAAGAAGGCTACCTCACCAAACAGGGTGGTCTGGTCAAGGTAAGGAAGCGCTGGCCTCCAGCATCAGCCACAAAGAGAGAGAGCGCATCCTGGGGGCTCAGTCCTCATTTCGACTTTTAAAAAGCAGAACTGCCTACTCATTTTGACCCAGTTGTAGCATTTACAGAGTTCATCTTGATGGATAATGTTAGTCAAAATTCTATAAAATATCTTGACTATTCTTTGGCAAAGTGACATGTATGAAAATAGCCTACCTAACATTAATACTCAAAACTTAAAATCCTTTTGATGCAATAATTGAGGATTAAAGTAGCAAATTAACTCTAGCCCATATCTTTTTTTAATGCAGTAATTTTTTACCATCTTAATCATTTTTTAAACCTTTAATTTTATATTGGGATATAGCCAATTAACAATGTTATGGTAGTCTCAGGTGGACAGTGAAGGAACTCAACCAATCATATACATGTATCCATTCTCCCCCAAACTCCCCTCCCATCCAGGCTGTCATATAACATTGAGCAGAGTTCCATGTCTAGTACATACCTTTGCTTTTTAAGATTTGTTTTTAGTAAAATAAAGTCAAAATTTTATGAAATGTTTACCTAAAAGTAGACAAAAAAAAAGAAAAAATCCAACCATCTCACTGGTACCAATGTAACTATCTTATAAAATCCTGAAGAAAACAAAATTTAGGACTTTACTAGTTGGGAGGTGTCCAACTGTTTCCTGTCTATGTGTCTGTACCTTTAAAGTTACTCAATTTCATATTCATGGGCTTAGAAGACCTTCATGGAGTGTCTGTTCTTTCTCATTTAAAGTGTCAGGGCACTGAATCTCTCAAGGGCACTGGCCTGCTTGAATTTAACCTAAATATTTAGTTATTTTGTCCCGACTCAAGTGGATTATTCCTGGGAAGAGAAAGTATTCATGTTCATAGCATTATTTTTAAATCCATTGTTACTTCATTTAATTGGGAACATTGCCACCAAAGATGATGAGCATTTAGTTAGTACAGAAGAAGGAGACCAAAAAAAAAAAAGGAGACAGTTGGTAACAAGACAGTGGGTAACATTTTTCCACCAATGCCCTGGAATTTCTAGGCAAGGTTTAGAATAGCATGTGGTTTGAGGTTCCTAAACCTCAGTTTGTCTGTAAAACAAGAACAATAATATTTGGCATTGAATGAGGACTGTCTATAATGTATATAAACCTCCAAGGATAGTATGAAGTTTTCAATAGGTGCTCAAAAATTATATCTATTCTTACCATAGTTTTATTAAGATTATTAAGTCTTAGTAAGATGGAAATTTTAGTGCTTTATTGTAATGCAAATCACCTTGAATATTTATGATAGGTTATTTCTTTTTACTTGCTTACAAATGTTAGTGATATCTTTGCCTCTGTTATGAGCTTAAGGCATGGAATCATTTTAATTTTTTAAACTTTAAAATTTTAAGGTTCACTTTGAAAGTTTTTCTTCTCAGAAATAACACCACAAGAATATTTCATTGTATCTAATCTTTTAGGTACTTTTACAACAAAAGGAAATTATCCAGTCCAAATATTTTAGTCGTGTATGCAAAGCCTACATGTTTCATTTTTTTTTTTTCAGACCTGGAAAACGCGGTGGTTTACTTTGCACAGGAATGAACTGAAATACTTCAAAGACCAGATGGTAAGAAACATGATCATATATTTTCCCTTTAAAAATGAGCTCTCTAAACAAAAGGAATATCTGCCTTTAAAATCCCTGAAATTTATAGGAAACATCTATAACTAACCAGAGTTCTTGATTCCTGATATGAGCAGAGAGCTTTCTGGCATAAATGAGACCTGTATAGCAGACACTGTTCTCAGTCTGGCTAACCTCTAGCTCTCTGGGGCATGCCACCCCCTATGTTTAGAGCAGTGGGATTGTTCTCTTACCATGTTGGGTAGACTGTCTCTGCAGCAGCATTCTCCTCTATTAAAAATATGTCCATTTATCAGGTCTAACTCACTAAGCAAATTTAAAATTATTTCATCTCTTCTCATTTTTCATACACAAAATTTCTGAGAAAGTGGATGTCTAAAAACACGGGAGAAAAATATGACTCCCCTCTATGTGTTAAAAATCCATCTCCACCAAATTTGAATTGACAATGAAAGTATCTTCCTAATGTCCAATTTCATGAAAAGCCAATCCCCAGACAAGCATATGGCTTCCCTTAGGAAGTTTTTCTACTATCAATTCCTGTAGTGGAAGTAAAGTTAACAGTCACTCATAGTGGAAACTTGTTTGGGGAATAAGTGATGAACAGGTGTGTGTGTGTGTGTGTGTGTGTGTGTGTGTGTGTGTTATGATGACTTAGTTTGTCCTTTTGTTTTAAGTCACCAGAACCAATTCGGATCCTAGATTTGACTGAATGTTCAGCTGTACAATTTGATTATTCACAGGAAAGGGTAAACTGCTTTTGGTAAGTGGTTTTATAGAGGAAATATTTTTTTTAATTTTCTTGCCAGACACTTACTTTAGCAGAATAAAAAATTGTATGTCTAATGTATACAGATGTTTTGATCTGAGGCGGTATATGCATATTAGGAGTCCTTTCAGCCAAATGTGACATAAAATCTCGTTTGTTGTTGTTTAGTCTCTAAGTTGGGCTTCCCAGGTGGCACAGTGGTAAAGAATCTCCCTGCCATGCAGGAAACATAAGAGACAGGGGTTTGATCCCTGGGTTGGGAAAATCACCAAGTCGTATCTGACTCTTTTGTAACCCCATGGATTGTACCCAGCAGACTCCTCTCTCCATGGGATTTCCCAAGCAAGAATACTGGAGGGGGTTGCCATTCCCTTCTCCAGGGGATCTTCCCAACCCAGGGATCAAACCCACATCTCCTGTATTGGCAGGCACATTCTTTACTACTGAGTCACATGGAAGCTCTATACTCATTTAAAGAGGTATAAACAAATAAGCAGTTCTGCTGGGTTTGATTCTTTACTTTGTACACTGCAACAAGTATGATGCCCATGACAGGATGCTAGTCACACGTTAGGCAGCTTTCATTCCTTTGAGATGTTTTATTTAAGTTTAACTATAACTTCGTTGGCTCCAAGAATGAGTGCTTTGTGTAATTATGACAATTCTTGCAGATGGCACAAAAGTGTTTTATTCTAACACAGTCAGTGTATCATGATAATTTTCTAACTGGGAGGAGTAAAGTGTCTTGAGAAAAAAGTGTTTTATTTCCCACAAACAATTATTTTAAAGTTTCTAAACATATAAAATTTGAAAGACTTACATGGACCGCTGCTCAGTGTTATGTGCCAGCCTGGATGGGAGAGGGGTTTGGGGGAGAATGGATATATGTACATGTATGACTGAGTCTCTTTGCTCTTCATCTGAAACTATTATAAAGTTGCTAATCAGCTATACTCCAATACAAAATACAAAGTTTGAAAAAAAAAGAATAAAAAAAGTTGAAAGACTTATATACCCATAAACCCTTCACCTAGATGCATCAATCATTAACATTTTGCATATTTGCTTTATCTCTATTCACTTTCTTTTGTTGAACCAATTGAAAGTAAGTTGCAGACATCATGGCACTTTCCCTGTGAATATTTAAATTTGTATCTACTAAGAATAAAAATATCACCTATAGAACAATATCATTGTCCCACCTATGAAAATTAACCTCAACTATTGTTAATTAATGATTGGATAGTATCAGCCAATGATGGAAATCTTTTTAAAATTCACATAAAGTTTCCGTACACACTAACAGGGGTTTATATTTCTCTTATAACAAGCAATTGGTAGGCAGGCAGCTACATTGACAAGGTCATGTCCAATGTCTATACAGTTCTTTTGGTCTTTTTCTCATGCTTACTACTTCAGGGTCCAAGAGATCTAGTCCAGCTGTAGTTCTCATATTTTCATGTAAGCCATGAAGAAAGATGTTGGGCTGGGATAAGCCAGGTCTGCCCATTTTATCAGGAAAGCAGACATTTCCTCAGAAACTCTTCTATCAGATTTTCCCTCCTATCTCATTGGCCAAGACTGTGTTCCATAGCCATCGGCAGCAGGAAGGGAAGCTAGAAAAGGGTATTAGTATGATCATGATTGGGCTTCCCAGGTGGCTCAAGTGGTAAAGACTCTGCCTGCCAATGCCGGAGACACGGGTTCAATTCCTGGGTGGGGATGATTCCCTGGAGGAGGGCACAGCAACGCTTTCCAGTATTCCTACCTGGAGAATCCCATGACAGAGGAGCCCCGCAGGCTGCAGTCCATGGGGGTCACAAAGAGTCGGACACGACTGAGTGATTGAACGTGCACACATGCTTATAATTGGCTCCAACTAATCGTAATTTATTGCCTGGGGTTCTGTTAGCAAGAAGAAAGGAAAAATGATCTGTATTAACAGGCAATTAATCATGTTTCTCACAAGGAGTACCAAGCAATGACAATTCCAGCAATCAGTTTTGTACAGTCTGTGCACAATATCACACCCCTTCCCCAACTTCGCCTCTGTCTAATTGCCCAACCAGACTTCACATCAAGGTTTACCTTTCATACACAGAGACTTACCTCTTGTCTATTCAATATTATTTACTGGTGTAGACAAGATACGTCACTTTGGTTTTAGGGTGTAGAAACACTATGGTTTCAGTTCAAGCCTTTTTTTTTTTTTCACGAAAAGAACAAAAAACATTTTTTAGAGTTTTGTATCTCAACTGTTAGCACAGGAAGTATGGGCAAGATATAAATCAGATGATTTTTTAAGTTAATTAATTAATTAGACTGCATCAGGTCCTATTTGTGGCATGTGGGATCTTTTAGCCGCAGTGTTCAAACTCTTAGTTACAGCATGTGGGATTGAACCTGGGCCCCCCTGCATGGGAGCTGGGAGTTTTAGCCACTGGACCACCAGGGAAGTCCATAAGTCAAATGATTTTGACTCTATAACCCAAGACACAGTCAAAGGAGGAGTTAGTCCTATTCCTAGAACAGTCTTTCATGCCAGTAGGCAAGTTTGTCTTCCCTTCAGCAAGTATTAACTCATGGCAAGAAGGAGGCAAAGTGAATAGTTGAAGCGATTTATTGTCTCCTTTGCCTGCTCTGAGAAGTTAAAACTGCCTTCATCCACAGAAGCCACTGTCTTCCTTGTTGCAGCCAGCTAACACAAATGAATTCCTTCAGCAAACTCTTTTATTTGTGTTGCTTGTTCTTTGAATCGTAGCACAAGTTCTGAGTCATTTAACAAATCAGTGGAATAAACACATGTGTGTATTCAGCCTAGATCATGAACAATAAAAGGATATGGGTTTGCCCTGGACCTCTTCCCCACCCCATCCCACCCTTTGGACTTATTAAAATATACAAATCTGCCTGTAAAAATAATAATGTGAATCTACAACATCCTCAACATTTCTGCAGTTTGCCAGCAGGACTAGCTCTATATATACCAACACCTGAGTTCTTACCCAGGTTAGATGTCAATTCTTTTTCCACTTGGAATACTTTAATGAGTGCTCAACTAATAGATGTTCAACTGTCTAGAATATCTTACATTCTTTCTTTTGTCTTACCAGCTTAGTATTTCCATTCAGGACATTTTACCTCTGTGCAAAGACAGGAGTAGAAGCTGATGAATGGATCAAGATATTACGCTGGAAGTTGGTGAGTTATTCATGTCTCTGAATGCCTAGTACTCACAAATCACATGTTGATGATTTCAAACTTATTTCTATTGGAAGATTCAGGGAACCCCTGAAAACCAATGGGAAGTCAACATGCAGGCTTGTGGATGAGTCTGTTCATTCTTCTTGAACATGGAAGGGTTGAAGAAAGGAGTAAAGGCAGAAGAATGAGGCTGCACTGGGGTCTCATCGTCAGAGCCTAGCCTAGTGTCTATCAGACCTCTGATATCTATCAGACTTTCTGTTAGTGTGTGGGTGGTCTAAGTCGGCCTGGAGGAGGATGTGTGGTACCAGAAGGACAGATAGAGGAACACTGATATAACTCTATGGTAAAAAGTCCTTTTATATTGTCAGAGAAGGTGGACTTGCCAGAAAGACTTAGCTTAGTGTCCTGTATAATCATTACTTTGTGCAGGTCAAGGACAAAAGTATTTTAATTTATCTACTTTCCATATACCTCCCGGGAGGAAGACAAAGTGCTTCTAAAAACATACTAGTCTCATGCAATTTTTGTGCATGTGTGTGTTTGCAAGTTAGTGAGTTGTTAACCAAGAACTTGTCAAAGCTTTCTCAAATTTTATATAAATACCATCTTTTGAATCCCTTGATGTTTTCAGCTATAGACAGTAATCTCCAATTTTCAAAAGGAAATTAGTTTATATTTAGAATCTTACTAAATAGTCCTTTCTAAATACTGGGATTTTTGCTTTTGGTTGTCTTTTCAGTTTTAGATCCAAAGAACTATAGCCCTCCTTTTGAGATAGTTCCAATGTATTTGGTATTCAGTGGAGAAATACTTTGCCATATGAAGTCTTTGCTTGAATATGAATTATTTTTTATTGTTTGTTTCATAACTTTGAAAGTGACACATAATCATTGTAGAAAATTTAAAGTAAAAACAGCAAATGAATATTTCAGATTTCTCCCTTTGCATATAAACATTTAAAAAAAATTTAATCATTCTGTAGTGTTCTTTATCTGCTTACTTCAGTTAATGTATCATGAACATTTTTCCATATCAATAAATTTAGATTTATATCTTCATTTTGATTCATTAAATAGTGTTGCTATTACTAAAAGTGCTAGGCCAGTTCCCAATTTGTGCATGTTTTAGCAACCACTTTATAGTATTTCTCCTGAGAAAAAAACAGAAAGCAAGAATAAAACTTGGGGAAGTGGGGACATGATAATTACTTGTTGTTGCATAGTTTTCTTACCAGTCAGGATTTCATATTTAATATTTGTTAAAAGTCAAAGTTTGTTATCTTAAAGTTGCTCAATAGTCCATACAGGTGGGTGTGCTTTCTTACAGTCTCAAATAAGAAAACAGCTCGATCAAGGGGATGGCACAGTCCGATCTCGGTCATTCATCTTTCAATAGATGGATCTCCCTTGGTGAGGGAGACCCTGACTCAGGAGCAGGGTGGAATGCTCCCATTGCTGGGATCCACGGCACACTTCACATGAAAACTGACTGAGGGTTTTTCTGTAGAAACAAATCAAAAGCAGATGCAGATTTGGACCATTCAGAAGACACCACATTTGCTGACTCGTGGAAAACTGCTGCCCTGCCCTTCAGGATCCTTCCATCTCCCTGAGAATACTGAAGCATCCTCGTTCTGATGGGAACGGACAGACCACTGTAACCAGGCATGCTGGGTCTTAGAACACACAGTAGGAGATGGTTCTGTATTCTCTCATTGTTGTCCCCAAGCTGGTTGACATTAGTCCCACTCTGCAACATAGTCAGCTCATCTGAGTTCCAGATTGCGCTATTAACCAGGAGGGAAATGGCTATATATGTAGCCTGAAGCTTAAGACTGCTTCTTCAGAAGGTATATTGGAATAGCAAACGTCCAAGATTGGTGGGAGGGCAGTGTTTTGTTTTGTTTAATTTTTCCCTCATTTATACAAAAAACAAAGCAATTTCCAAAACACAAATGGAAAATATTTGTAATATTTATTTTCTCTTTGTAAACAGCTCAGATATCTACTGGGTCCTGTCTTCCCTTCTAATGATAAACCTGTGAGAACTAAATCTCCTGTGGGCTATGAGGCAGAATGATAAAGATAACAGGAGGTACAATCTTAAAAAAAATCACCTCTTTTAGTCATTTTGGGGGAAATTTTATAAAGAATGAAAAAGCAAATAGAGGAAGAGTGAGAAAGTCATAGGTAATTCTTAGTTTAATAATAATCATCATGATAATTATTATTGTAACAATAAGAGAGGACTTGTAAGCACTAAGTTATCTTCATCCCACTCTTCTCAAACAGCCTGAAAGAGACTTCTCAAGGAAAGTGTTTTGTAACAATGCCTTCCAAAATGTGAGTGGTAGGTACTGGCCCAAGAGAATACGATGTATCCTGCACTGCAAGGAGCATCCTACGCCTTATTCAAGGGCAACTTCTTTTGCCTACTGAGGGAGCAACACTAATCCACACACGGAGTGTAATGATGTGTTCATTGCACTGCATTTTCAAGCCAGATTAAGGGGGTTGAGATTGGGAGATAAGATACCATCATCCAGAGCTCCTAAGTAGATTCTAACTCCTTCTAGAATCTTCATTAATAATGCTTTAATAGGCTGAAGTTTGAAGGGAGACGAAAGTGTAGGAAGAAACCAAATAAAAATGTTGTGGGGCAAAGCTATAATATGACATTGCTCTTGCAGTCCAAAGGGCAGCTTTGTTGATTGAATACATTTCTTGTTATTTGAACATCTAAGGCTCAAAAATACATTTTATATGTTTCAACAAGGTTTTTAATGTATTTTGTAATGTTTGTATCATATGAGATAAAGCAAATGTCAAGTTAAAATGTATTGTGTCAAGTTTGCAAAGTAAGAAGTTAGACATAAATGTTCACCCAGATGTAGTTTCATGTTTTGTTTTTTTTAGATCCAGAGGTGTTTGTGTAGGTAGCATTGTTTCTATGTTTTGTAAAATATGTTGTTTATTTATATCCTTCGGTTGTATCAAAAAGAGCATGATTTTGCTGTGTCTGTAATATTTTGCTATTAAAGTGTTTTTAGTATCTAATTTAAAAGAAATACAGTTGATTAATATCATAAATAGCAATGAAGAATCCACTTTGGTTACACTATGAGTTACTAAGGATTGAAGGATTCAGAGTTGAAGAAATAGTTCCTGTCCTCAAGGAGTTTTTAGTTGAATATGGGCTAGATAAGAAATACATGCATAATAATGCATAAAAGTAAACATGATACATGCTGAGAGTGAGGCAAAGCTAGATGATGGGGTGTCCTTTAGCAGGATGATTGTTCTTGTTTAGTCACTAAGTCTTGTCTGATTGTTTGAGACCCCATGGACTGCAGCACGTCAGGCTTCCCTGTACCTCACCATCTTCAGGAGCTTGCTCAAACTCCTGTCCACTGAGTCGGTGATGCCATCCAACCATCTCATCCTCTGTGGTCCCCTCCTCCTGTCCTCAATTTTTCCCAGCATCAGGGTCTTTTCCAAAGAGTCAGCTCTTTGCATCAGGTGTTCAAATTATTAGAGCTTTAGCTTTAGCATCAGTCCTTCCAATGAATATTCAGGATCGATTTCCTTTTGGATTCAGCATGGAGGAAATCATTCTTTGGGAAGTTTTTGACATAAAAAGGGCAGTCTAACACATGCTATGTCCTACCCCAGACGCTTTACCTGCTCTCAACAACCCTGGAAAGTGGTTGTGATTTCACCTCCTGAGAGACATCAGGAAAAGGGTCTCAAACAAGGGAGGATGTTTCGTGCCAATGGCAGACAAGTGGGGTTGTTTGAGATTATGGCTGTCTGTGTCAAGCTCTGTCACGAACAGTACGAGCTCGTTGTGAAGGAAGTACCTTAAGACCAGGCCGAAGGATCAGCAGTTGTTCTCAGAATTCCTCCGGGGAAAATCTCGCCCCACGCAGCACTGTTGCCTCTGGATGAGGGAAGGCCCCCTCAACGATGGGAATGGCTGTAACTGCCTCCAGGGAAACCTGCCCTTATTCCAGGGCCGCTGGGCAGAACACTTAGCGCTCAGAGTCCTCCCATCCATCCCCAGGTGGCACCCACGACTGGGCTCTTATCCTCTCCTCTCACTCACGCTGGGAGTGCAGCTTAGGGAGTTACACTGTCGACTTCAGGAAGGAGCAAGAGAATTATTACAGGGTGAATATAAATTCTGCCCCTTCCTCCCCTGCTACTTCAGGTCAGCTGCAGCAAACCTGTACTTCTGCCTGTCTTTCCAGCCACATCCAGCCTTACACACTGCTTACCACGGATTCAGGAGTTTCTTAAATTAGCTGTGGAAAAGGGCCAGATTTTTTTTTTTTTTTATGATCACTGGAATTTTGTAAAATGTAGTTAAGTTAGTTGAAAACTGAAGGAAAAAAACACAACTATCACAATCCTATTTTTTAAATTAAATTCAATAGACTTGGGACTTCCCTGATGGTCCAGTGGCTAAGACACTGAGCGCCCAGTGCAAGCGGCCCAGGTTCAATCCCTGATCAGGGAACTAGATCCTACATGCCTCAACTAAGATGGACGATTCCGTGGGTTGCACCTAAGACCCAGTGCAGCCAAAAAAATAGATAAAATATTTTTAAAAATTAAATAGATATAGTATATGTTTTTTATACCCTTGACTCTCAACTTCCGTAACTTGTCATGTACTAACAAACAGAACAGCAGTGGACTGCCAAGGAAAAGAGACCAGAGCCTTCTTGAGGAAGAATTCATCTCGATGTTGGTATGAATATGCTTAATAACATCTACAGTCCCCTGAATTTATATTAAAGAGGTTATCCTCCATAACATGGATGGGTCTCATTCAAGCAGTTGAAAGACCTTAAGAGCAAAACTGGGGTTTCCACACAGAAAAAATTCCCCCTTTAGATGGCGGGCTCAGCTCCTGCCTGAGATTTTCCAGCTTTCTGGCCTGTCCTACAGATTTGAGTTTTGCCAATTTCCAAACTAGGGTAACCAGCTCCTTGAAATTAATCTAGTTCATATATATCCTACTGGTTGTTTTTTTGGTGAACCCTGAGTGATACAACTTCCTTTCCCAAGTACCTCATCATCATTTTATTATAGATTGTTATTATTTGCTAAAGTATTTTATTATTTTTGAATAAAAATCTAAGAAGTGCAATAAAATTTACAGTGAAAAGGGTCATTTCTGGGATCTCTGTTCCCCAAGTACCCAGTTCCACTCCAGGGAGGTTATCAATGACATCCCACTCTGTGTATCTCCACGGACACCATCATATCAATACAAGCAAGTATCAACATGCACACGTATTTTTTCTTCCTATACATAAATTGCAGCATTGCACAGTTTCACTGAACACTATTTTTCATTGAATATTATGTTTAGGAGGTCATTCCATCTCAGTAACTAATGTCTTCATTCTTTTTTTCCATTGAGCCAATGCTGAAATTTCTCTAACCAATCAAGTGGGACACTTGAGAGTTGAAAGGAGCACTAATGATTGCACCAAGAACAGCAGGTATAAACTGACAGTGTTTAAAAAAAAAAAAGTCACCTTATTTGATAGATACTTCAGCTGTTTCTAACCTTTAATATTACTAAATTGCAATGAATATACTTGTAATTATGTACTTCTCACATGTCCATATGGGCTGGCAACACAAATATCTAGAAGTGGAATTGGGGGCTTTTGTGTCAACTTCACCAGTTATGGGGTGCCCAAATTAAACATTTTGTGCCCGTGGGTTCTGTTTCTCTGGAGAATCTTAATACAATGTGCATTTGAGCTTGATATAGATTGCCAAATTGTCTGATTTAAAACGGCATAATAATTCACATTTCCATCAGTGGGGAATAAAAAATGTCTGTGCTTTTTGAATCTTTCCCCATTGACTTATGATGTCATCTTTACAATTTTTTATGTCTTATATGTATGTACTAAAGTCTGTTTCTGGGTTATTCTGTTCTACTGATCTGTCTAGTCATACATCTGATGTAGGTTTATACTATCTTTAAAAATAATCTAGTTTTACATTACCTTTTCAAAAATTCCTTAAGTGTTTTACCTTCCAGATGAACTATAGAATAATTTATCTATTATACCTCTTAAAATGGAAATTTTAATGGTAGTACTATTCACTATGCAAAGGTTAAGTATCTCCATTTATTAGTTCTCTCTCCTGGGGGGTATGTATGTATGCACATTGTGTGTGTGTGTGTGTGTGTGTGTGTGTGTGTGTATGTGTGTGTGTGTATAAAATATATAACATATAGATAAAATCACAGTTTTGGTCACCTCATTTATAAAAGACTTTCTTGTTTCATGCATCACTGCACTGGCAAAAACTTCCTGGACACTATTAAATACAAATCGGGATAATGGGAATTCTAGATTTTTATTGATATGTCTAATGCTTCATTAGGTTGTAACAACTGTTTATAGCTTGTTGCAGGTAAAACATTTCTCTTGTCCTTATTCCTTTGTAAAGACTGTTGTCCTTGTTAAATTTTAATGCCTCATACTGTGTTTTCTATAGCATCCTGTACACAGCTTCATCGCAACACTTCCTATGCCTGTTTCATTTACTGAGCTGTACGTTCTTTAACGACAGGTACCACAATTTAGTCTCTTATTTGTAGAGGATGGGAGGAGAATGGAAGGAAGAAGGGAAGGAGGGAGGAAGAAGGAAGGAGGCAGGCCCAGCGCCCAGCCAATCTCACCGCACAACATGAGGGACCGCATTCACTCTTGTGCCATGTAAAATGCATCTTTGGAGCACAGAAATATGATGTACACTTGTGCTCCTTAGAATTCTGCAGTGTGGCACTTCTAGTGGACAGCACACATTTGCTACTCAATGCCAGGTACCAGTGATGAACTCTGTCAAAGAACCCAGGAGGAAATTAAAGCCTTGAATGATGGACTGCATTCCTAAAAATGAAAAGCACACGCTAGAACTGTGATACCAATTACACAGAGATTAATTAGGCTCCTGGATGAGGTTTATTTTCCAACTGACAACTTATATTAGGTAAAACAGTCTCCAAACTAGACAAGAAACATGTATGTGGTTGAAGGAGTGAATTAAATTACAGAGTTTAAACACTTGAAAACAGTCTGGGGGGAAAAACCTATATAGTGCTCAAACTGTACCTTTAAAAATACTATTTTATTTATCCTCATGTAATGAAAAAGGGGTATACTACCATGTGTACATACATACCAATCCTGGAAACAGAGTTCAATAATGAATCACACATAAATTTTACAAAGAATAAACAAACATTAAAAAAACACTGATTGGTTATAGAAAGCAGAGTGGAAGAAAAAAACCATTAGCTGTCATCTTCATTTCCATTAAAGAGCAGCACCCTCTGAGAAGAAACAAATTAGTAAGACTCACCTATAGTGCACAATAATATATACAAACCGAAGTTAGTGATTGTACTGGTTTTATTCACTTTTCCTAAGCCACTTTATCTTCCTCACGCTCAATGCAAAGAAAATAATATGAAGAAAAATATGTCCTCATTATTCACAATAAAAAGAGTCTGCCTCATTCTGCAGGCCTGGCATATGGTATAAAAGGGAGCACTTCATGGCTCAAGGGGATCAAAGTATCATTTTGATTCTGAGCCACCAAATAGGATCTCATGCATATTTGGTGACTGGACTAACTCCACAGGAGCTGTGATAGACTGAACCATTTCTGTGGTATCCCCATATCGCACTAAATAAGAAACAGCCCTACACAAAAAAACAATAACCATCAACCTGTCCATAAATTCTATCTGTAAGGCTCTTTTTCTAGAGTAAGGTGGATAAAGGGGTCCTTGAGTACATGGATACAAGTGTCGCTGTGGCCTAAAGATTGCTGGATTGATATTGTGTCTGATATGATGAAGAAAATTCCAGATTAAGAAACTTCTACAACTTGTCTCAATTCTTCAAATAATGGAGCAAGTTCCTTTTCCAGGCTGACAATTAGTCCTAAAGCAAAGAGATTAAGAAATTTGAACATTAGAAAAATGTTTATCAAAATTTGTATACTAAAAAGTATAT